AGTGGTGCACATAAGAATTTACTTTCTCTGAAGCCCCAACCATTACGTTCAGGAGCCACACAATTAGTTCAGTAAGAGCCACCTATTAAGAGCTACAACCAAGTGAAAGACAGCATGAAGACCAAGGAACGTTCCACAAAGGTCAGAGATGAAGCTAAGTGTAGATCAGAGCTGGGTTATAGAAAAAGTATTCCCCCACCTAACCATTTCACAAAGTACCATTAAATACCTTCTTAGAAAAATGCAAAGATTGTTATCTCAATAAACCTGCCAAAGTAGGGTTGTCCACCAAAACTCATGGACCGGATAAAGAGGGCATTAAACAAAGAAGCAACCCAGAAATCAGTCATACCCCTGATGGAGCTGAGCATCTCTCCTGTAGAGATGGAAGGATCTGTCCAATAGAACTGTACAGAGCTATGGTTCATAGAACAGTGAACATGAAAAGTGTTTGCTTTAAAGATAATAATAAAAAAGAATTGTTTGTCAGACATAAATATCATGTCTAGTGCAAACCTAACATCCTGAAAACACCATCCCCACAGAGCACCATGGTGGTGTCAGCACCATGCTGTGGGGATGTTTTCCATCACTGAGGACTGGGTAACTGGTCGTAGTTGAAACAAGGAAGAGTTAATTAACACATGAATAAAAAAAGACAGGAAATGTGCTGAAGGGAAATCTGTTGGAGGCTTCCAAATATTTGAGTGGGACCAAGGTCCACCTTCCAGCAGGACAATGACCCTGCCGAAGCAACGCTCCACTGGAGAACTAGTTAGAGGGCCTGGAACGGTCCAAAGTCCAGACCTCAATCCAACTGAGCGTGATTTGGTTTAAAGATTGTTAGAAACGAGCAGCACCCACCCAACCTGAAGAACCTGCAGCCGTTTGTGTCAATTTATTACTTGCAATGAAATTAAGAAATCAAATGATTGAGGGGTGAATACAGTGCAAAACAATGTATATTCAGGACTCGGGTCTCATGTAAATGAGTCCCAGAAGCTCAATGGGATTAACCTGTATAAATAAAGGTTGAATGAATATTGATGTCATCCACATAAAACATGTTGCTCTGCACACAGTGTATACAACACTTGAAGTTTAAAATAAAAACACCTAACAAAAAGTGAAATGTTTGGAAAATGCTTGTTTTAACTGAAAACTTAATTTTTACTTGACAAATGAAACCCCAACAGTTCAACAATATTTCTGTTATCTCATCAAGTTAAACTATAATGCAAACAGAAGGAACCAGGTGTGACGTAAACCAGAAATAAAGCACTGACAGCAGATCACACATGAACATCAACAAAGGCTGTGACAGGCTGAATAAGGCTTCTTTTTTTGGTGTACTGTATTTCAGATACATTTGTTCTTAAATACTGTAACTGTCTTGTAAAAATAGTGAATGTATAAATCCAACCTTAAAAAATGGATCAGTCAGAGTGAACTTCATAAAACACTGATCTTCCTGTCACATTAGTTTATTTTGCTACTATAAGCAGACATGAAGCTGCTACCGACATAAAAAAACGACAGCTCAATTTGTACATTAACGATGGGTTTACCATCACTCAATAAATATCTCGTTACTCTTGTTCATAAATCTTACAGTCACAGAGCTCTTTATAGATCCTCTTTCGTATTTTTGGTATGTCTTTTTGTGAAAACTGGAACGGTCTTGACAACGCGAGGCATCTGGAGTACTGTAGAGGAGAAACACTGAGTCAGCAGCTGAAACGACTGGGAAACGAGCCACACTTATAGTCACAATAAAGTAAATACACCGTGTTCAATCCTGACATCATATGTTTATACGTGAGAATCATCTGGTTTTTGCTAAATCAGCGTCAGATTATCAACACGTGGCACAAGCGTTCATTAGTTATTGACTAAAACAAAGCCAATATGTTTGTCATTTGAACTGTAAACTCACCCAAAACTACAACTAGTTTGGTTTTTCCACCTTCAAAGGACAAACTTCAGATGATTTGGTACAAAAATGACTGCAAGTCATGGAGAGAAGCACCTGACATACAAGCCTCAATACTGCAGATAAACAGACCACTGGTATGTTCTATAGTATTTAACTAAAAGACAAACATTAAAGCTAAGTGTCATTGTTTATGAAGCATTCACACTTGTGATCCATTTTTCTTCCGGCACGATTCTCGTCCCGCACTTTTCAAACTATTTCAACAAATCATAAATCAAAACGTTCAGCTCATTCAGGACAATCCTGCTGTGACTTTTACTATTGGTGCAACTTTAGCTTTTTGAAATATTTAGCCTTTTCTGCATTTTTTTTCTCCTCATAGAAAATTAACTGAGCTCATTTTACATCCGTCAAATTTTAAGTTCTGTTTACAACCTTTTACTGCTCCTTTCACATTTTGTTCTGGTTCAGCTTCTTTCAGCTTCCTTGAGCAAATTTAAACGTTTTTCAGCTACTATCGGCTAATTTCAGCTGTTTTCTGCTCCTTTCAAATTCTTTCTGCTAACTACAGCATTTTTGTGCTTCTTCTAACTTATTTCTGCTAATTTTAGCTTGTTATGCTCATTTCAGCTTTTTCTATTTCAGCAACTATTTAGCTGATTGATGCTAATTCTAGCTTGTTCAGCTAATTCCACATTTTTTGCACTCATTTTAACTTTGTTCAGCATAATTCAGCAAAAATGTGCTCTCTCCACTTCTTTCTAGTAGTTTAAGCTTCGTTTTGCTTTTTAGATACTTTTCAGCTGTTTTTTGTTGTTGCTAATTTCAGCTTTTTCGGATTATTTCCACTTTTTGTGCTCATTTCTGCTTCTTTCAGCTTAAACAAACATGTTCTTTCTGTTTTCTACTGCTAAATTACGCTTGTTCTAGTTTTTCAGCTACATTTTTAGCGTTTTTTTAGTTAATTTCAGCTGTTTTCAAATAATTTCAAAGTTTCTTGTGGTAATTTCTGCTACTTTCAGACTAATTAACTTCTGATCTTTTCAGCTTGTTATGCTACTTTTAGCTTTTTGTTGTTGTTTGTGTTTTCTATACTATTTCAGCTACTATTTAGCTTTTTAATGCTAATTTTAGCTTTTTCAGCCAATTCCACATTTTTGGTGCTCATTTCAGCTTCTTCCACTTCCTTCTGGTTGTTTAAGCTTATTTTTGCCATTTCAGCTACTTTTCAGCCTCTTTTAATAGCTAATTTAAGCTTTTTTAGCTAACTTTCTAATTGTGCTCATTTCTGCTTATTTAAACTTAATTCAGCAAATATGTGTTCTTTCTGCTTTCTTCTGCAAACTTAGGCTTGTTCTTGTACTTCAGCTACATTTAAGCATGTTTTTAGCTAATTTCAGCTGTTTTTCCTGCAACTTCTGCAATAAGCATTCACATTGCATTTTCGCAGGCAATGCAATTTCTCTATTTTTAGATTTCATTTCATTTGACCTGTAAAACTTCAGATTCTAAAAAGTTGTCCACACTTGGTGATGATTTTTCATCCCCGTTTTCTTTTAATTCTAGATGTTGTAAGAATAGATGTACTCTTTCCTCACACTGCCTCTGTATTTTGGCTCAGTTTTGTAGTAATTGTACGTGCACGTTCAGCTTAAAGAGAATGATGTACCTCTAAGACGAAAACTCCACAGTCGTTCTCGTTGGTCTGCTGTGGGACTTTCTGTGGAAAACAGCAGGGGGAGACAAGACATTATGGAAGAAAGATGTTCTGTTCACAGCTGATATTGAGCTCAAGTCTCAAAGCCTGCAACAATCGTACATATAAACAACAATTCTGTATCAAACCAAACATGTTGCTGGTTTAAACTGGTGGGGTAGCAATACACTTCCTGGGCCTGGTCTGTATGTATGTGGTCTGTACGCACCTCGTCACACGAGATCGTCCAACCACTTTCAAATGCCGTTTGCTTCTTCTCTTTTGCTTCTGTCATCAAGTATTTCAGGATGTTCTGTTGGAAGCAAAGCACCATAGTAAAAATCAGGTTTTCAAAATAAAATGACACAACTTGGGGGTTTGTATTCTTATCTTACCCTTGCAACTTTTTGAAGTGCATTCCCTTGAGAGTCGTAAAGGCAGATTTTCTTTGTGGCGATGTCAGCTGTAACTAGACACCAATGAACCTCTAAGTGGACGGGCACCAAAAGAAGTCTCTTGGAAAACAAATCCACCTGTACCGGAAAACGAGGTGAACATATAAGATGATCACATGAACTGCAAAGGTTCTTTTACAATAGAACTCATTGGTAACAAGGTAAATGACATTAACACCTTCATCATCCAGAAGATGTGTACAAACTAGAAAAGCTCTGTCACGCATCACACCAGTGTAAGGTGTGAGGGTTACAACCTGGTACTTAACAGAAGGCACCAGTATGAACAAATGAAGATGTCCTTCAAGGCCCTCGCTGAACCACTGTCCAACTGGGTTCATGCTAGATGAAGATGTAGTGTAACATTAAAACAGACTTTCTTTTTAAAGGTGGACTGATTATACATACAACTTGAATAATTACAAACAAGAATTTGGTGCAATTACTGGTATTTGAATTTACAGTCAAGTATTTTTTTTCTTCTGCAATTCACTTAGAATCAAAACTACCAGTATGTATACAGGTTTAAATATATACACTCTCGCTGATATTTGGTTCAATGTCAAACTGACTTTTTGTATCCATCAACAAGTCTAGCATGACTCCGACTGGAGTTTGGACCGCTTCACTTGGTAGAACTGGTAGTTCATTAGTTGGTTTCATATTGGGACTTTGGGAGGGCTATTCCAGAAGCTAAAAGTTAGCCTGCATTACCCCGACCAACTGTCCTGTTGGAATACTCGAGTCCAGGTTTCAACTATTGAGCTGCTGGTTGGAGGTGAAGTTGAAGAACTTGGAGGTAGTCCTATTTTATTAATCCATCCACCTTGGGCAATGCACTGGTACCACAGCATGATGCTGTCACCACCATGCTTGACAGCTGTTATGGCATTTTCAGATTTGAAAAGTTCAGTCGTCATTTTGACCCTGGATTACAGAAGTATCTCACACAAAATAATCCTAATTTGTACAAGAAAATGGTTTTTAAATTTCTTTGGAGTTGTATCTGAATACTCATTCCACCACAGAAAAAACATGCTTCAAACCAACCATTCCAAATTAACACGACAGTCATGGTCTGTATAAGAGGATGCAAACTGAAACAACTGCAGGGTTCCCAGCATTCCATAAAAACTAAATTCCCTGAGTTTATTCTGAAATTCCAGGAGACGTTTCAGCCACATAAAACACTCGAAACTTAACGTTTTAGCTGGCGAGCAGTCACAATCAGAGATGAACAGTAAATACACTGTAGCCTATGGTACGCTCCTAATAATGAATTATACTGTATAACATCAGAAACTAAAAATAGCCAATCAGTAGGGATATGTGTACTATGTACACTGTAGAAGCAGAACATGGCTTTAAAAAAAAAAAAAACAAGCAGAACATGGCTCCCGTTATACTACAGTATTAGTATTAATACATGTACACGTCAAAATATTTTAATCAGCAGATCAGTTTTCAAAATCCCTGAGATTTCCATGTCTGAAAAATGTGAACATCATTTTCCAAGTCTTCCCTGATTTTCAGAATTGCTGGGACCATTGATGTAATCATTCAACTTTATTTAGACAAGTTAATCCCACTGAGCCTCGAGGACTCATTTACAAGAGACCTGATTTCAACAAAGTGTGATGACAACAGCGACAATAATAGACAATCATAAAAGAGGCATACAGATTTTTTTTTCAAATTAAAATAAGATGCCAAAAAAAAAAAAGTAGCAAAAACAGCTAGATTATGAAGTGGTGTAGAAAACTAAAACCAGGAACATGTCTGCATTGGTTTTTGCCAGGAACTTATCAGATGTTTGAAGCCACTTAAAGAGGTCAAGGTCGAGAGCTTCAGATCTTTTTGTAAGAAATTCCAGGAAACAGGAGCAGAGTAGGAGAAGGCCCTTTTACCTAGTTCAGTCCTCATTGAGGGAACACTGCAGGTAATAATATCCTGAGAGCGCACACTGTAGCTGCACTCACGCAGAGACATGTAGGAGGAGATGTATGAAGGCAGCAGACCAAGAAGTGATTTAAAGATAAAAATATACCAGTGCAGTGAGAGAGTCTGCGTGAAGTTAATGATGTCCAGTTAACCAGTGAATACAGGGTGCAGTGGTGGGTACGATAATCACAGCCAGTTATGAATCTTAGTGCACCGTGATAGACAGCATCCAACATCTGCAGGGTTCTTGTAGGAGCGTTCATGTAAATAATATCACCATAATCAATGGAGGGAAGGAAAGTAGCAGTTACAAGGTGTTTCCTAGCATTCAGAGTTAGACAGGATCTGTTTCTGAAAAAGAAACCCAGTTTAACTTTCAGTTTCTTTACCAAGTTTTCCACATGAAGCTTAAAAGAGAAATGTGAGTCGACCAAGATACCCAAATATTTATAGGAATCAACTAACTCAATAGGGACACCATTTGAGGATAAAATCTGAGGAAGAACTGCTGGGACCAACTTCCTGTTTGAAAAAAAGCATCCCTTTGGTTTTGTCGGTATTTAGGACAAGTTTGAGGTGAAACAAATCAGTCTGGATGATGTTGAAAGCTGATTGTAAAAGCTGGAAAGCCTTAGCAACTGTTTTAGCTCGACAATAAACAACTGTGTCATCAGCATAGAAATGTAAGGATGCATCAGGGATGCTTGTAAACGTATGTTGTATACAGGATGTATACGTCTTTGAAGCTGCCATTTCTGACAGTATGGTCTGATCACGTACATCAGTGTCCTGTGGTGGATCATTTATACCGCACTAGCATTTTCTGATCCACTCCTGAACACCTCTGACAGTGTTGAACCTCTGCTTCGTGCAACTATAGTGACAACACATGGTCTGCTTGTAGGAGGCTGCAGGTATGAGTCCAGTGGTGACAAATGTAAAACCATAAACACGTTAATCAGAAAAAAAAACTGAAAGAAAAACATTGTTGTTACTTTTACTACCACAAAAACAGCTGCAACTTTTTCAAAATCCCTCATTTTTTCTAACTGTAGACTGATATCATGTTGTCTATTATGTTGATGTTAGAGCTGACCTGCTTTGTCCATCGCTTCACACCGTCGTAACCTTTAGTCATAAGCTGCCGGTGGAAGAAACTGTTGAGAAAATGGACCTAAAAGTGAAAACACAAAGAAGACAAGAGTAAAAAACGAAGACGTGGAAACAAAACTAGCGACAAGTGCAACAGCACGAGAAGAGATTTAGTTAGGGTGAGTTATACATATTGAAATGAATGAAAAGGTAAAGAAAAGGAAATCAAGTACGCAGTAAGAATGCCATTTATTTCTCTGGTTGTGTCATTGATCACAAGTCTGTAAACATTTACCTGCTCTGACAAGAACAACGTTAAATATACAAATTAACAGTAAAAAGAAACAGCAAGATTCTCCTTCCATGTGTTTGGTGAGTTCACATTTATTGAACGATCCGGAGGCGCTTTTAGACCCAACTAGTTTCAAACCGACGGCGATAAATAAACTGTAGTTTTGACGTGATAAAATGAAGCTGAAACAGTTTGACCAAGAGAAAGAGAGGAAAGGTGAGAGACAGCCAGTGCACACATGCACAGTAAACTCAGTGAACCCAGTCAAGGACACATCTGCAGGTTCCAGAGACAGACAAATCATAACAGCTCAACTTTAGGGTTGACTTAAACAAAATAGAGAAAATGATTTTAGAATGAAAAGCTCCTTGTAGGAAGCAACAACTATCTTCTAAGTTCACTGAAAGGGCTCCTGTGGCACTGTTCTATAGTCTAAATGTGCACATCATGTAAGGGGTTTTTAAATGGCTGCTGGTATAAAACGAGTGCAGTGTAAAAACACCACCAATGAGCTTTCAGGCTGCTTGAAACAGTCCCAAAGACCGATGGGGGGGCATGGCCCCTGGAGGGCCAAGGGGACAAAGACCTGAGTGATTTCCGGAGGAGTACTCTGGTTTATCTCTTTGTAAAATAAACTCGACTGAATTGGACTTTACTCTTTTCCAGTGTCCTTTTCTGTTTCATGTACTTTAGAAAATTAAGTTAATGTGATTTTAATTGTCAGGGAAAAGGTCTTGAAACCAATCCTGGCCACACAATGTTTGACACCACAGTAATTATAACAAAAGTAATCTTTGTCAAAAGATGTTTGAGTTACAGTGGACACAGATTTCACCAGAATCACCACCTCTGACATGTTCTCTGTTTTGCTGCATTACAGTCAGGAAAGTTAAAGCAGCTTGGGGGAGGACAGGGGTTGGACCTTTAAATTTACACATCTACCACAGAAACAAGTTCTCGTGGCTCAATGAGACGAACCTGTATAAATAATGGTTGAATTAAAAAAAAGTGTAATAAATGAATAGATGCAATGAAAACAAAAAAGAAAGAAGAAATTTATAGGTGTAATGGTTTGAGGATAATTTATGTAAATTTATGTAAATTAAAGAAGTTTTAATAAATCTCAAAAGTACCGTAATGTCCGGATTATAAGCCTCCACCTTTTTCACACACTTTGAACACCGCGGCTTTTACAAAGCTACGGCTAATTTATGGGTTTTATTTTTTTGGACGGGCTAACGAGCTTCATGCCACCAAAACATTTAGCCTCGTCACACCTGGACGATCACATATCTACTCAGTACACGTCTCTCCTGGGGGGGGGGGGGTCGGTCCTCGTGACTCAATGAGACTACCTGTATGAATAAAGGTTAAAAAAAATTCTGACCAAGAGTGCTCGTACCGAACAGGTCAAGTTCCCCCTCTCCCTTCAGGAGTTTCCCCCCTCATTGGGGCACAATGAAGTATCTGCAGGAAGTGTGACTCATAAATCAAATCATGAATTTACCTCGAGACGAAAGTTATGATGAGCAACGAACGAGAGACGGAGGACGTGTGTGATGATGTTTATCTGAGGTTGTTCAATTCTGACACAGAAGAAGACTTCAGTGGTTTTAATGCACAGGAGGAAGATGAAGATAGTGATCGATTACTTTTCCCGGTAGGCTACTGTATTTTATTTTATTTTTTAACAAGCCGCGTTAAAGGCACTGTTTAGAAGAAAAAAACATTTACTGTTCGTATTTGTGTATGTTACCGGTACTTATTTAAAGTTAAAAAAATATATTTCTGTGTAAATATCTCATTACAACGTGGACACCCACAACTTATACACAAGTGTGGTCTACACATGTACAAATGTATTTATTTATTTTTGTGGGTGAGGCTTATATTCAGGTGTGCTCAATAGTCTGGAAATGACTGCATGTGTAGAAAACTTGAAAATAAAAACTATGGTGGCTCCTTCAGTTCTGTTCACATCATTCAGATTACCTTGTGATGAGATGACTCCATGATCAACTCTCCGTACATATTCATGATCTTTAGCAGAAAAAAAAAAAATTTTGATCAATGCTGGTCCAGTCTAAAACTAAAATGTTAGTGTTTGCAGATAAAACTGAGACGTGTGGTGTGTTCAGGGCCAACCTGGTCGTTGAGCCAGCTCTGATCAGCCAGCGTCAGTAAATCCTCCAGAGTCAGTCTGTGCTTCTTGTAGACGACTTGAAAAGAGGGGATGGGTGTTTCCATGATTGCAGCCCGGTATCTGATAACCTCTGAGATGATTAGATTTTTTCTGCACAAGTAGGACACTCATTTATATCAACTCTTCCTCCAACTATAAAAACACGTCAGAGTTAGCTCAGGTCTCACCTGTCGCTGAAATCAGAGTTGAACTTCTTTAGATGTCTCAACAAGTCACTGTTACACAGAGGGATGAAGCTTCCATATCTTCTGTAGAAACCATCCAGATAGTCTGAGGAAGCAAGTTCAAGCTGGGTTTATTCGTCATATGCAGGTTAACACAAAGATACAATGAAATGCTCAGGATGAGAAGAACTGATTTGACTCGCTACAAAATCAAAGAACAAACAAACGTGGAACAAACATGGAAACAGTCGTCAGTGTTCTATGAAACTTCAGGGAGAGCGATGAGATCTTTGTACGTTTGTTTGATTTTTTGCCACAGCTCTAATTATAAAAGCTACATTTCTACTAACTCGTTAACTAGAACTTGCTGCAGTGACGTTGAGGCTGTTCGTCTTTACAGTCTGTGGAGGATCACCATTCTCTCCAACATCATGTTAAATGAATATTTCAGCCATTAAAGTGGAGCACAACACTTTGGGCTTTTAATATCACCTGTTGTAGATCGCTCTTTGAAAGAGGTCCGTTTTAAAAAAAAAAAGTTTATCTCTTGACAGGACTGATGAGCTAATGACTAATGGGGTTGGAGCTGAGAAGAAAGCTGGGAGCTGGCAATTGTTTTTACATCGGATGTCCTTCCTGACGCAACCACACACCACTGAGCTACCACAGCCCAGAAATCTTCCAAGCACAGGCCCACCCTCTCTAACCTGTCCACCATCACTCATTAAAAACTTCACTTTTGCATATCAGTCAGTTTTGCACAAAACTAAGTGACTAAAGTATTGAGATGCTAAATCTGCTTTAGAAGTGGGTCCAATCAGACCATACAACGGGCTAATGAATGATTCTTTTGAACGCACCACTTTCAACAACAAATGTTGCCATCCTAAAACAACTGATGCTGCTGATCATCTCATGCTGCTGATCATCTCATGCTGCTAATCATCTCATGCTGCTGTATTCATTCATACCCATCTGCTCGTCGCCAGACTCATGTTCGTGCTGCTGTTGTTTGGTGTATTGTTTTATATTATTAGTGATTAGTGTACATCTTAGAGCCTTATTTACTGTTTCTGTTTATACTTTTGCTATTGTTGAATATAGGGAGGGAGTGGTGGCGCAGAGGTTAGAGCAGGTGGGCCTGTGATCGAAAGATCGCCGGGTCAACTCCTGGTACCGACATCAAAATGTGGGTGGGATAGGTGAAGCACCCACACCTGCCTCCACCCTTATTTGCCACACTCTGGTCTCTTAACCCCCACCATCTGCTCCCCTGGGTGCTATAGATAGCAGCTCTGCTCCACACAGAGGGCTGTGGTAGCTCGGTGGACTGTGGTTGTGTCAGGAAGGACATGAAACATCAAAATAATTGCCAAGTCTTCGTGTGACTTTGTTCGCTGTGACCCCTGAAGAAGGGAACTGCCAAAAGAAGCTATTGCTGGGTGTAACTGGGACCCTGAGTACACAATTTCATTCCACGTTATGTAACACATGTGATGTGAATGACAAACTTGACTTGAGCTTGACAACTATACGTTTTAAACATTTACAGTGTCACTTTAGCTTTACATTTTATTTGGACAGAAATTTGATATTCCTGCAGGAACTGACCCAGGCTGCACGTGAAGTGATTCTACTAGCGTTAGCATTTTTTTTTTTTTTTTGTCATTGCTGCGCTCATACTAGCTATTAGCTTGCTCATTTGATTCACTATTTCTCAAAACTGAGGTCATTAAAAGAGCCATCTATAACAGGTAAGATATTCTTTAAAACTTTTCCGCATAATGCCAGTTCAAAACACCCTAAGAATCATTTTAGCCTCTTTATGATTACAAATATGAACAGTTCTCTGGATCAGTGCTGTCTGACTAATTCTCTGTGGTGGTGAAACAAGTTGTAAACACAATTAAACCAAATGTTAGCGGTAAACATACCGTGGATGTTCGTAGCCGGTTCTTCAAGGCAGACATTAGTTGGAGGTGCTGCGTCACTGCTGATTCTGTCGTCAACACATTTTGTTGTTTGGTTCTGATAAGAACTAACAGAACTGTGTTGTCGTGATGGACAATCAGCCGGAAGCCTTTGTTCTCTTTGCACCTTAAGCTGTTCATTACACGCGTTACTGCCAGCACACGGCACAGATCTGACAACGTGAGGCGGGTTTAAAGGGTCGTCCATTTCTCTGAGCTGCACAGAAGGTCCTGCGCTCTGTGATGACGCCATGGCTCTTTGTGTTGTTTGACTGGCACTACACGAGGGGAAATTAGTGTCTGTAACCTGCATGCTGCCAGGATCAGCAGGAGACTCTGAAAGACTGTCCGATTCTCTCCACCCCGACAGGCCGTTCTGCTGTACGACGGCTCCTTCTGAACCTCCACCATCTTGTCCTGCCGGTGGCACAGGGGCTGTGGTTCCTTCTGAAACTGTTTGTAGGTGAATTGTTGAAACATTATCTTTCTGTGACTGTGGTTTTAAACTGAGGTGGGAACCTGAGCCAGAGTTGATCCCTGAGGTGCGTCTTCTACTTCTGAATATCCAAAGACGGCGCTTTTCGCTTCGCTTCCTCCACAACCAAAGCTGGAACTTACAATACAGGCGTCTCTTGGCCCGCCTGGACAGATGAGACGCTCCTTTAACAGACGACATGAATTTCTTCCGCATCTGCGAAGATTTAGCCTTCCTGCAGCGGCTCTCCGTTCGGTACATTGGTCAGAAATTAAACGGTGAAAAACCTACATGAGAACAAGCACGGGTGGGATTGACCTGTCAAACAGCGAACACGTGCGGGAACTGGAGCGAATGTTTGCTTCTTTGGAACAAGCAGAAATGCAGTTTTCAAGTCATGGTCAACTATCCCAGAGTTCTCTTGGTGCTTCAGGTCAGCTCGGCCCGTGCAGCCGTAAATATCAGGAATGTTAATGATTGAAACTGAAGTCTCTGGAGGATCACCCACAACTTCTCACAGCTTTCTTCAGCAGTCCTCCTCTACATCTTTGTGTCCTGCAGTCTGAAGAGGTGCTGCAATAAAGAAATGAAAGCTTGAATACTTTTTTTGTTGTTGAATTAAGACAGCAAATATTTCGAACATACCAGCTGTTGCATAAAAGCCCCTGTGGGGTGCCACAAGTTCTCACCGGGTTGAAAAACCACCCGTCTCATAACTTTATCTGGTAGAACTGAAAATGTCCTCAGCACTTTAAATGAATCATGTCCGTTACATGGACAACATCTCAACATCAAGCTGTGATACAGGCAGCTTTCCCCACCCTCCTGCAGCTACTTGATAAATGGAAGAGTCTCAGTCATGTTTTTATTTTAGACAGATCAGAGAAAGTCCTGGGTTCACACTGTAACTTGTCCATTTTGAAGCTCTCATTAATCTGAGTTAAATGAAAAAGAGTCAAACTTTGTGGTGAGGGGGAGACTTACCATTCAGTGAGAACGCCCTACCGTCTCCACCCAAGCTGTTTCGTTCACCACATGAAGAAAAAGAAGGGGAGGAAAAAAAGCATAACTATTAGGGCTGCACAATGTAATAAACATTTATCGTCACAGCATACGAGTAATATCAGCATCTCAAAGGAGTGCAATAACTCATGGGATATTATATTCCAAGTACCACACATGAATGCTCTGCTGCTAATAATATTTTTAGTCTATCCAATAGATTCTCAGTGGCTACGATGTACACACCTGGTTTATAGAGTGACAGAAGAGAAAGTGAGGAATGAAGAAAATACACTATAGGTTTATTACAGTTGATTTAGTTATAACAATATGAAAAATAATATCACATCTAAGTTGTTTTTGTGTTTGCCCTAATAACTATTTTATTACAGATAATTGTTTATTTTGGTATACACATTATTATATTACATAATCATCTAGGTTCACATCACAAAGAAGAAGCAGAGTTAATTATAACCACCACCTAAAACCTAATGTCTATGTCTCCTAATTAAAGCCTAATGTCTGTGGTGCTGTTCAGAGTATTGTGTTTATTGTTTTTAGTGCTTAACATATTTTTAGCTGATATTTTTTTTAGATCTTATTAGTGTTTTTTCCCCTACATTTTATTGTTGGATGTAACTGGGACCCTGTGTACATAATCTCGTTCCACCACATGTGTCACATGTGGTGCTAATGACAAGAAAGAAACTGACTCTGAATCCTTTTGTTGCCTTTGCTGTTTTGCAGCAGTTTTTTTTTCTTCCTATTTTTACACATATTGCATGGCATATTAGTTTAGGCAGAACTTTTACATGAAAATGTGTATATTTTTCTATGCTTCCTAATCCTGCCATCATCATGTATGAACAGTTCATACCGTTTTATCCAGTCAGGCTAAGCTGAGACTGTAAACGTGCCCAGCACGTTCCACAGAGGAAGGCACGTGCTATCACGTTTATTCAATATTTGCTTTTCTCCGGGCTTTCAGACCAAACTGCCCTCGTGGTATTCTCTGGGCACGTGTTACTAAACGAAGATGGTGTGAATTATCTACCGAGCTAAGTTTACTGACACAACAACTGAGGACCCGCGAGCCTCGCGCGCTCGGCCTTACCTAAACTGGCTCCTCTGCTTCACGTCTCGGCGCAGCGAGCTGTTGTTTACAGGTTTGTCAGCACAGCCAAGTAGGAAATTAAAGTACTTTTTATTGAAAATATCAGGTTACTACCTCTGAAACAGCAGCGACTGGGGCTTATTCATCAACAAGACCCGGCTGTCTTCAAAGAGCTACACTGTAGTTCCATTCCCATTTCTTGTAGCTAAAGAATCCATTGCGCACATTGTGAGTCGCAGATAAAATGCGTCACTGATTCACCAGCCAATCAGATCAAACCATTATTAAAGCGACGGATTTGAACAGAAGTTTTTTTTTTTTTACTTTATTGAACTACCGAACATACAAATGAACAAAATAACAAAATGACAATCTCAAATTCCAATGATACATAAACATGCAAAAATTTCTACTGTTATACCTCCTAAGTTCAACATATTCTTAAACAAAGTATCATCAACCATCATAAAATTAAATGTAGGTAATATTATCAAAGGGATTGCAAATAATATGGTACAAGTAAATTCAAAAACACAAATCTATATATCTAACATACTACATAATTACTTAAATAATTTGTCAGAGGGCTATATTATCTGAGCGAGGTAATCAGAGAGCTTTTTTGCTTGTGGTTTTTTAGCACTGTCTAATGAAAGTTTTAACATCTGGAGTTCTTGTATGAATACAGACAGATTTGAACAGAAGTGACAACTGTATTTGTAAAATGAACAGTTACAACATTTTAACAATAAATGATTAATACACGATTATTTTAGTAGTTCTTAAATTAGGTAGTGTAGTAAATTTTAAATTATGTTATACTATGGAAATGTTTATGATTCTAATTAACTAATGTAAATAATTAATATTTTATATACAATACAATTTTGTGCATATACACAACACAATTAATATGTCTGTGAGTTTCTTTTACCATCAAAAGAGGACACTGTTGTTTTTAATACCTTTACTCGATCATAAAGGACACATTCTCTATACAAGATTAATTTCATAACTCTACTTGGGATAAATGGCTCTTTGAAGGCAACCGGATTTTGAAGATCTGTTTACTTCATGAAGCCGTTCCGCTGGAGAAAAAAATATCCTCTCTTAACTTACTTAAATAAAAGAACACTTGATGGCAGGAGAAGATTTTTAACTATAATTTTACTTGCAAGGACTCATTCAAGACAGATGACATACATAGATACATAATGCATGGAGCATGTCACAGAATGAGCATTGAAGAGAGTTTGCCACAAACTTTTATACAACAGCAGTGTCCAGCGGGCGTTCCCTCATGCCAGCTGCAGTCAGACGCATAGATGATCCATGGTCGTCGGCGAGTCGGACTCCAGATGGAGATAAGAGAATGTTTTGGGCATGTTCTCATGGCATCTACACCAGTGAGGCACTGCGAGTCGGCGCCTTCTGGCTAAGACAACAATGTTTTGTGCACGTATTACAGAAAGATGTTCTCTGCCATTTCAGCCATAATATAATAAAGATATCCATACCAAAAATTCTCTAACAAATACATAGTCCCCACCCATCTCAACCAGTATTGCACAATACCACTTTTCCACCATTTTAGTAAGTGAGCGTTAGACAACGATCATGATGGCTTTCAAGCAGACCAAAGCAAAGTAATATTGATACTCAAGACCAATGTGCAAGACAAATGTATGCAGAAAATTGCTGCTGTCAGAAGTGACCTGTATGAGGTAAAGACAACAGGTATGGCATGTTGTCACATCATTCAGTTGTTTCTACATTATGTAACAAGAAACAACAAAATGTTCATGTTAACACTAAATTTTATTCAGTAAAACCATCAATCCATCCCTCCTCTCTGGTTTGCTCCAGAGTCGGGCCTCAGGGGCAGCAGCTTGAGCAGGAAGGCCAAGATATTTTTTACAGCCACCTCTTCCAGCTCTTCTGGGAGGACTCCAAGGTGTTCCCAGGTCAACTAAGTGACATAATCTCTCCAGTGTGTCCTGGGTCTTCCCTGGGGTCTCCTCCCAGTCAGACATGCCCAGAAAACCTCCATATAGGGAGGCGCACAGGGAGCATCCTTACCAGATGCCTGAACCACCTCAACTGGCTCCTCTCGATGTGGAGGAGCAACGGTTCTACTCCGAGTCTCTCCCAGATAACTGAACTTCTCATCCTCTCTCTAAGGGATAGTCCAGCTACCCTGCAGAGGAAACTCATTTCAACCGCCTGGATCCACGATCTCGTTCTTTCGGTCACTACCCAAAGTTGTGACCACAAGTGAGTTTAGGAAAGTAAACCAACAGGTAAACAGAGAGCTTCACCTTACAGCTCAGCTTCCTCTTCGCCACAAGGGACCAGAACAGAGTCCACAATACTGCAGAAGCTGCACAGTTCTGTCGATCTCTCACTCCTGAACAAAACCTTGAGAAACTTGAACTCCTCCACTTGAGGCATCACCTCACTACCAACCCGGAGAGGGCGATCCATCCTTTTCCGACTGAGGACCATAACTAAAACCATAATTTATCAAATAGTTTAACTTATTTACAGACACTGATAATCAGCTCAAGTGGAATATTCATTGACTGTATTTAAAATCCTTCCTACATTTGTGTCTTGTTTACACTGAGTCAGACCAGAGCACACTTTGTTTCTTGGCCCAGCCTTCTGCCCTTTGACCTCTCTCGGACTTTCTGTGCAGCTGTTCAAATGAGAACTGCTTCCCGCTGTCTCCTTCAAACAGCACATGCTGACATGAGTCTACCTCTTGGAGGATTTATATAGACTCCAGTCTGAGGCTGGTTACTCTGTTGAACTAAGTCTTGGTGTTTGTCTTCCAACAGACCATAATTTCTGTTTGTTGGTCTTATTTATTCTATATTGCCTGTTGATCTGAAAGGCATCTGTCTTCCCACTGTGGGAAGGGAAAACAGATGCCAGTCCTCTCAGGATTCACCCAAAGGTCAGACCATGCAGTGATTTGAGAAACTTGGAAAAGTGCTGAGCTCCATCTCAGACTCTACAGATGAAACGTTAAAGATCCTAACAGGACAAACAGAAAAAGCCTAAAGAGTGCCAGTTAAAAGTATTTACTCCCGTGGATGTTTTGTGCTTTTATTGTTGTCAAATCAATCATGGTCACTATAAACTGGTATTTTTGACAAAACAAATCTTCAGTGCAAAGTCAAATCAAATTTTAGAGGATAAAACCAATTAAATAAAAATATTTACTGTAAAATCGACAACTAGAAAAATATCAATCCCCTTTAAATTAAAGTCCTAATTAACTCAAAGAAAATTATTTTGAATGCACAGTGGGTGCATATCCAAGGCCCTAAACATCTCAAGGAGCTCTGTTAAATCCATTATCAAGAAATGGAAGGAGTATTGGACACATGTAAATCTATCAAGAGCAGGCGGTTCTCACAAACTGAGTGACCGTGCACAAACGAGAATAATGGGACCATCAAGACACATGTGACTACTCTGAGGTTATGAGCTTCAGCAGGTGAGATGGAAGAGACTGTGCGTGCAATAACTGTTGCCTGGCTTATTCACCAAGCTTAATGAGAGAGTGGCAGTGAAGTTTGGTCCAAATGGAACAAATGTGAAAACCTGTGAACCAAAGTATTCTCCACAACTATGATGGACTAATCAAATATAAATGGTAAATGAACTGCACTTATTTAGTGCTTTTCTGTCTTATCAAGACACAAAGCACTTTACAATCTGTGTCCTCATTTACCCATTCATACACTACTAGATTTAAACAAAGAGCTTCACATTCATACACTGATGGGACACACATTGGAGGCAATGAGGGGTTCAGTATCAGGGACACTTTGGCATGTGACTGCTGGTGGAATTGAACCCCCGACTCTTGCATTGAAGGACAATTGCTCTAACCACTCAGCCACAGCCGCCCTAATGTGACAATAATGTTCAACAGTAAACCACCACTGAGAGATCTTGCTGCTAAATGAGGTTTTTATAAGTTGCTGGATCAACTTTTATATACAGAACTTTTCCATTTATCTTTAATTTGATCTCAAAGATTCTGCTGTTTTCAAATAATTTGAAGGTTGATTTGAACACTTTTAGAACCTATAGTTACCTATAGTTAACCTATAGTTAAGATCATATTATTTTTAATTTGTTTACTGAATGTAAAACCCAGCACCTCAAAGGATCAAAACCTCTGAATCTGAAGCCGTGGTTCTTGGTCAGAAAAAGGGGAATGGCCCTCTCTTGGTTGAGAATGAGGTGTTGTCTCATGTGAAGGAGTTCAAGTTATTTGGGGTTATGCTCATGAGTAAGTAAGAATGGACCTTGAGATGAACAGATGGACCGGAACAGCTTTTGCAGTTTTGCAGTCTCGTGCCGATCTGTTGTGGGAGCTAAAGAGGGAGCTGAGCTGCACGGCAAAGCTCCCTGTTTAATGATTGGTCTACATTCCTACCCTCACCCAAGGAAACAAACTTTGAGTAGGGATAGAAAGAAAGAGATTGCACAGTACCCGGACTCTCCCTTAGATAGGGTGAGTTCAGTTATCTGGGAGAGACTCAGGAGAGTCTCTGCTCCTCCACATCGAGGAGCCAGTTGAGGTGGTTCAAGCATCTGATAAGGATGCTTCCTGGACACCTCTTTAGGGAGGTCTTCTGGGCATGACAAACTGGGAGAAGACCCCAGGGAAGACTCAGGACACTCTGGAGAGACTATGTCTCTCGGTTGGCCTTGGAATCCTCCCAGAAGAGCTGGAAGAGGTGGCTGTGGAAAGAGATGTCTGGGGCTTCTTGTTCAAGCTGCTGGCTAAGTGACCCAAGTCCTCAACAAGCGGAAAAGAGATGGATGGATGGATGGATGGATGGATGGATGGATGGATGGATGGATGGATGGATGGATGGATGGATGGATGGATGGATGGATGGAGAGGAAGAAAAGTAAAACCTTATGATTGACAAAATGTACACTTTCTTTATCTCATGACTATATATAAAGCAGAAATAGAACTGCAGCCAAAAACAGCTCCCTGTGGAACCCCACGACAGGTCAGGTGTGTCAGATATGATCAGGTTTCTATGAAGTGCCTGTCAGAACAGTATGAAACAAACCTGAACCCAACTCAGTAGGGGGTTCACCTACACCTACATCTGGACCTGCCATTCTGTGTTCGTTTCTCCATCTTGTCCTCTCAAACCCAGTCAGTTGAAGCAGATGGCCACTCGTTCTGAGCCTGGTTCTGCTGGAGGTTTATTCCTGTTAAAAAAGAGCTTTTCCTTTCCACTGTTGCCTTTGTGCTTGCTCAGGATGGGAGACTGCAACAATGTGAAGATTCATTGAGTCTGCTGGCTTCCTTAGACAACTTTATTGGCTTTTCTGTGTATGTGAATGTTTCTGTTCAGTGCCTGAGACAACTTCTGTTGTGACTTGGTGCTTTATATATAAACTGAATTCAATTTAATTGAACAGTCTCTGAAGTTCCTATCAAATGATGCAGGCTGTGTTTTAATTTGCTGTTATTAAAGATGTGAATGAATGAGGAAAGGTTACAGTTTTTAAAACTTCTACCAATTTTCCAGTCTCTCATGGTAAAAAATAGACTTCATTTTTTTATGAAACAGCAAAGTTTCCTCATTTAGATCTGAAACAGTTTTCCAACAACACAAACTGTTTCTACAGTATAGTGCCGTGTCATCAATCCTCTCTGAGATTGAACAAAATAATTTTGAATGACAGCATCAACAGGGTGAACTGGAGCATTTCTATTAAATTTAAAACGTTTTTTTGGTGTTTTTGCAATTTTTGATTAACACGAGAGTTCTTCACTTTCCCATAAAAGCAGATCCTGCAACTTTACAGAAGTAAACTACGTAAAATCATTTGCTCACAGTTCAGAAGCTCCTCAACATATCAGAAACTAGCCAGAGAGCAAAATGAACTAAAAACTTTTAGTTTAGTGTTAAACTGCAGCTGTCTCATTTCGTTTCACATTTTAAAGAGGTTTAAAATAAGTTATCAGTTTTTCCATTAGATTACCACAATATTGGAAAACTCTTGTGTCAAAGAAATCTAGAAAGAAAAAAAAATGCAAACAAAAAGCTTCCCTTCCTGTCTTTTGTAAGCATGTCCACATCTGACAAAACAGTTTCTGACCCCCAATATGCCCTCTCGCATCAAGATAAGCTCTGATGTGATTGCAGCTGAAATATTTTAATGATTAGTCCCTGAATCTGTTCAGATCTCTCCAGTGTGAACTCATTTCATTCCATTTGCAATTGCAGATTGATCTGGTTATATATAGGAGTTTCCCTGAAATCAGCCTGGTCGGTCTCTGCCTGGTTCTGACCTGGAGTGATACTTGTGTTGTACAGATGGTCTTATATAAAGCAAACATGTTGTTGGCAGCGGTGAGCGCAAATGTGCCCCCCTGCCGTCGACAAACATCCTGTTCTGAAGAGTTCGGTCTCTGAGTTCTTGCTGACAGAGAGGCACTGCTTTGTGGAGTTGACATCCGACCTCTGTGGAAAAAGACAGCTGCTTACACAATAAGTCAGTTTCAACCAGGTTCACATTATTCAACCGATATGAAGGCTGAGCGATCAATAACCGCTGTGATCTGATGAAGTAACTAAAGCCTAAAAAGGAGCACATTACTAGTTAAAAGAGAAAAGTAGAAAAAGGTTAGTTAAAAGCTAAATGTAACAAAATGATAAAGTTCAAGGTAGGAAAACGCTAGCTAGAAGCTAAAAGTAGCAAAAAGTTGTCTAAAAGCTAAAAGAAGCAGCATACTAGCTAAAAGATGAAAACCCCAAAGCGCTGGATAAAGCACACACAGAAAAGCAAAATGTTAGTTAAGACAAAATAAATACAAGCTAAAAGTTACAAAACACTAATTAAATGTGGCTAAAGGCTAGCTGAAACTGTACAATGTAAAAAGATAAAAATAGAGCAAATATGCAAAAATGAATTTCACAACAATGTTATTGAAGGAGGCGGCACGGGGGCTCGGTAGAGCTGCTGCCTCTCAGTGAGAAGGTTGCCAGATCAATTCCTAACCGGGGGACCTGTCTGGCGGAGTTTGCATGTTCTCTCCGTGCATACGCGAGTTTCCTCCAGGTACTCCAGTTTCCTCCCACATACCAAAAACATGCATGTTGGACTGATTGGTAACTCTAAATTGTCCCTAGGTGAGTGAGAGAGTGAATGGTTGTTTGTCTCATTTGTCTCTATGTGTCCCTGTGATGGACTGGAGACCTGTCCATTGTGTTCTCCGCCTCTCGCACAGTGACTGCTGGATATGGGCACCACCAGTGACCCCCGCGACCCGAACAAGGAAGAAATGGGTAAAGATAATGGATGGATGTTATTGAAGGAACTGAAGAGAGAATTATTTCTACTGGGAAAATGTTTCTAAATATATAATAAAGATGTAAAAACACACTGAGGGTAGAGTCAGATGTGGGCCCATTCCCACATTATTGATGTAATGTCTAGGGTCAGGGGATTTGTACTGGGGACAGGATCACCTGCTCTAGCCTCTGCACCACCATCCAGTAAGCAATAAGTGTGAATAACGTGACTATCAAAAGTTTATTAGCTGTACATTTACAGCTGATTTACATTTATAGTCAACCCAGTTCAAGATGGCCGTCACAGCCAAGTGACCTTTGAAAGCACAAATATTTCTGCAACTTAATTTACAGATATAGATCTAAAATTTGGTGTGGTCGTAGCTGAGAGATATTTCCATCATTCCCAGCATGAACAGAGCACATTCCTAAACTCCAGCATGCAAGGTGGCAGTGAAATCCATCCATCCATCCATCCATCCATCATCTTTACCCACTTCTTTCTTTTTGGGTCGTGGGAGTCACTGGTGCCCATCTCCAGCAGTCACTGGGTGAGAGGTGGGGGGCATCCTGGACAGGTCTCAAGTCCATCACAGGGACACATAGAGACAAACGAGACAAACAACCATTCCTTCAAAAAATGCTGCTGTCATTAAAGTCATTTTAGTTCTATGTGTAGGTCTGAGGTATTTCCAACAATAAGTCTAGCTTTGGAGGATCAAGTGAATTTTTTAAAATTAGGATTTTTTTATTTTTTTTATCGGGTCTAGTTTTATTGTTTTCAGAAAAGACTCATTTTAAATACATTTAGAAACCAGCTTATCTGGAGGTAGAATAGTATATGTAGTGTGTAAGTATAAGCAACAATGACATTTTATTCATTACTGATTAATTGCATGTAAGGTTTTGAACCCACAGAGGAATGATTAAGAAACAAAGGTCTGCGATCAATTTGAATGACTGCATCGATTAAATCATCATCCACTGATCAGATCTGTAAGTTTATTCTAAAGATTCCTCATCGATTTAAACCTGGGGCCGCTTGTCCCATACCAGACTTTGTTTCCATTTGCTTTGGCAGCTCTCCTGATCCGGAGAGCAGCCCACCATGTGACACACGGAGGAGGGATGACCACAGCATTCATCTGGCTCTGCCTTCCTGTTTAAAGTGCAGCATAAATACACTGCGGGCTCCAATAGCTCAGCCGCTCCTTACTTTTCTTCTGCTCCGACACCTGGCTGCGTCTCGTGCAGAAATGAATTTTCTGGGCATCACTGTGGCTCTGGGACTTTTGGGGGGGATATGTGCTCAGATTAATGTGCTGCGGCCAGCATGCGACTCCCTGGAGGCTGAGGAAGCTGCCCTGGTGGCTCAGGATTACCTCAACGCCCAGCACAACCACGGCTACAAGTATGCACTGAACAGGATCGAAGACATTAAGGTCCACTCTATGGTACGTCAGCAGGGGTGCACGATGATTAGAGGAAAAGACGTTTAAGGTGGTCAAATTTATCAGCTTTAAAGTAGGACAATATGTATTAAACCAATCAAAAAATAATAATTTAAAACACCAGAAGACAATTTAAAGAATTCAATATAATTACGGATGTGGAGAATGTTTTTTTTTTTTTTTAACAGAATGTAATGCGTTGTGTGGTTTCTCCTGTTTAGCCTGATGGAAACAGCACGTATGTATTGGAGGTGGACTTGCTGGAGACTGACTGCCATGTGCTGGACCCCACACCTGTGGCCAACTGCACAGTCAGGCCCAAACATCTGACGGTGAGGCTGCACACCACGCACACACCCATGAAGACGGACTGATTCGCAGACATGTTCCTGTTTTTAGCACTTTACATCGCTTTATAAAGTAGCCATTTTTGTTTCGTTTTTATATCATTTCTTCTATTTACTTGTTCGTTTTACAGCATATGCTTTTTATACGGATTGTTTGTTGTTGTTTGTACCTCGTCTGTGTTTTTGTTTCATTCGGGTCTCTCTTGTAAATGAGTCCTCGAGGCTCAATGAGACGAACCTGTATGAATAAAGGTTGAACGAATGAAAAGAAAAAGACGGGACTGAGTCAAACAAGCATGATCAAAGTCCGGATCACAAAAAAATAGATACTAAAGGGATGGTCTAGTAATTTTATAAGCTGTGGTAGTAGAATCTGAAAAAAAAAAACAGAAATCTTCCTCCAGGCTGGACTAACCAGACAAAAGCTGATGAGGCAGTTTTAGATTGATTTTCAGGCTTAAACTGCTGTCAAAACAGATGTTTTCCATTGTTTCTTTTCTGATAAGGTACTATTGATTTAGACTATCACTACAATGACTTGATTATCTTTGAATATTTTGTTAAGTTGCACCATCAGCTGTTGCTTGGGCCAACTCTCTGTTCTCCTGCAGGCCATCGAAGGAGACTGTGATGTGGAGCTGAAGACAGTTGGTGGAGCTCTGACAGTCACCGCATTCAAATGTAAAACAGAAGGTAAAAGTTAATTGCCTTATTTTATTTTAGGCCCCATTTATGCTACTTTGAGTATTTTTTTAAAAGTCTGTAATATATTCTTTATGCACGTGATTCTAACAAGAAACGTTAAAATATCCCTGCAGTGCCACAAGTTGGCTATTGATCATACTAATACATCAATTTACAGAAAAATACACACTTGGTCAAAGATTCTCGCAAAACTTTTTTTTTTAAATACCACTAACATTTTCCCCTGCTGAGTAACCATTTTAGCACCCAGAAAAAGTTCAATGGCAGGATTAAGATAATGAACTCTGAAAACCCAATATAAACAGCTTAAGTTTCTAACACACAGAGCAATAGTAGACATGTTGCTACGTTATGGTTTCTGAAAAGCTTTTTTTTTTTTTTTTTTTTTTAAGTCCACCTGGATCCACCAAAACTGGATTTTTAAATATCCTCGTTCTAAAAATTGTTAGTAAAAATCTCAACTTTTCTCATCAAAACCTCAAATTGTGTGAGTAGACAAGAGGTCTAAGTCCGTGTAAAATCACTGCTTTTAATGTAACCTGACTTGTATAGATAGGGACTCAAATATTCAAGTGGTAGAGCAGATGTCCTACATATAAAAACCTGTGTCTTCTTTTGTTTTTGTCTAATAAGAATCCAGAGAAGACCTGTGTCTGGGCTGTTACACCCTTCTTCCCTTCAATCACACTGAAGGGCTGGACTTTGTTCAGACCTCTCTGACAAAACTCAACAACATGACGGAAAATGTGACGTATGTTCTGGGGGAGGTTGGAAGGATTTCTTCACAGGTCAGCCTCAATTTATTCCATTATTCTTCTATGCATTTCATTGATCAAATTGCAATATCATTTGGGACCCATTCATCTAAATAAATTTTCAGATCGTGGCTGGTGGACCAAAGTACAACACAGAATTTGTTGTCTTTGAAGCCATTTGTGTGAACGATACCTGCACGGCTCTGAATGACCCTATGGCTGTAAGTACAGAAAATACAAATTGCAAGGACAATTAAAAGAATGTCTATAGAACAAGATCACAGAACAAATTTACCCTAACCCCTTGCTACAAGCCAGCCTAAGATATAATGTTCAATTTAGATCTAATTAGCCCAATTACCTTTCTGCAAAAATTAAAAAGTCTCTGAAAAAGTTCAATTTAAGTGACTGGCAGTGCATGTATGAGTTTATATGTAGAATTATTTTTTTGGAAACCAGAACATATAACTTTATGATGAGAAAAAATAAGCCACATCAAGAGCTTCAAAAGCAAAGTTGACTTGGGAAAACAGCTTTAATAAATCTAAAAGAATTTAGAGACCAGCATGGCCCTTCAGGCCATAATTGGCCCACGAGCCGCCATTGTGTTCATTAGAGGTAATGTTGATATTTTTACCATGCAGATCAGGGGTGTCAAACTCGCTTACAAAAGGGGGCCAAAATTAAAACCCTTTTCAAACTAAGGGCTGGTTTCAGAATCTACATTAGTTCAAGTTAAATACCAAACATCTTTTCTTGGTTGCAGGTTCCTCAAGGGTTTGGTGTCCTTTGACATTCTGTTGTACATTTGACATCATAATCAAAGATTACTTTTATTACTTTAATTTTTTTTTCAGTATTTTACATTTAAAACAACATCTTGGGGGCCAGATAAGATGTCAACGAGGGCCACATTTGACCCCCGGGCCTCGAGTTTGACATATATGATTTAGAGGACTTGGCCATTGGAAATTAACATTAAAGTTTTTATAAGAGAAGGAATGTTTTGTTATTCATTTATTTATTTATTTTTTTTTTTTTAGGCACGTGGAATTTGTACTGCTGAAGGTGTGAACGATCCAGCTGTGAACTGCAAAATGTTTTCCACTCTGGTAAAATGTCCTTTGAATCTAAAAATTCTGGTGCTCCAAATCATTTCTAATGACTTGTTTTGTCTTCAGACGCCTCTTCTAGATGCCAACAGTACTGCAAGGCCTGCCCTGCAACCACACGTTCACACCCACTTGGGTGACCTGTCCCCGAAGCATGGATTAAGACACCACAAACTGACCGCTCTCCATGACCCTCACATAAGCAGCTATTTGTCTGCAGAATCCGCAGAATCAGCAGAAGTTGTACCTGTAGCACCTGCAGTACTTGCAGCACCTGCAGCTCCTGCCTCAACAGTCACTTCTGCACCTGCAGAGCACCACCCAACTACTGACGGCTCCTCTTCGGACGCTTCAGCCAGCTCCGAGCTCCCCATCAAGGTGATGAAGAGAAGTGTCCCTGCAGATAAGACGCATCCTGTTCAGGCGTGTCCAGGGAGAGTCAGATTCTTCTAAAGACTCAGTTTCTTCATTTACACCGGTACTAGTAGGGTAACAGATGCAAAAAATGTGCTGTGGTGGGTAGATACTGCATAAAGCCAGTATATTTAGATTAGAAATAATCTAATGTTTGATGTCACAAGTGTCCAAGAAGTGAAATTTTCTGAAAAGATTTGCATGTAACAGTTAAATCTAAAATAAAACCTTGTTTTTACTCATTGATTGCATTTTCTTGAAAGCACATTAGCAATCTGCAAAACTTATCACTTGAAAAACAGCATGAACCTGCAGCAGTTTCAGGTTAAATAAGATGCAGCAGTGACTCCAGATGCCCATGAACCCAATAGCACACACGCCCACACCTTTTGTATTTTGCATTTTAGCAAGTGTGCCTTACAGCTAGACATTTAGATTGATTAAAAATGTCCAAACATGACTTTTCTTCAGGCTGAGACTCCAATTCTATAAAATTACCGGTGTATTTAAAATTAGTGGAAAATCCATTTAGGTTCTGCAATGTGGGAGGACCAGGTCCATTCTGATAAGTTTATTTACACAATAGGTTAATGTTCAAAAGCACCGATTCTAGGTAAAGACATGACAAATATTAAAAAAAAAAAAAAAAAACGGCAAAGGTCCAAGTATAAAACAGATTTCTTAGTCAACCAATTCCAAGATGAAAAACTACAAATTTAGGGAATGTCCTTATAAAAATTTTTTTTAAAGAGTTGTCTCTTAATTCTTGACCAAAATGTTTAAAAATACAAGCACATTTAAAAACAAGCAGTTTGAATTTTCCGTTTATTTTATTTAAAGACGGCTCTTTTTTTTTTTTTTTTAAATCAATCTTCCATTTTCTGTCTTGAGGAGTTTGTTCATACCTGCAAGAGATGTGAAATTAATCTGAGAATGGATACTAGATTTCAATATGAAAAAGAGAAAATTTCAACCTTAGGCTGTCTGGTCTGCTGCAGATGTCCTTTTACTTGGAACCTGGTCTGCAAATGACTGGTTGGAATCTGAAGGTGTCATGGATTTCCAGAGGTCTTCAAATGACTCAAGAACTTCTGGCTTCAGTTGTGCAGCACTAAAATATTGTTCGGGGGGCAAGTATACCAAGCCAGTCTCATCCAATTCAGAAGAAAACAATGGTAGATCAAGTTTGTCGTCCATCCTCAACATGTAGTCAACATCATCAAGGAAAGGATTAAGTACTTCATCCTCTGGACTTTCGAATGGACTTTCCTCCAAGAGCTTCAAGTTCTGATTAGGTCTTTGGTGCCCAGTTAGAATTTGCATTTCAGAGTTTGGACTACGCTCCTGGTTTCTGAGATCCACAGAGTCATCACTGAAACTGATTGGCTTCCTATTCGGGGGCCCGTGTTGTAGCAGTACATAACTCTCTGGTCTTGAATCAGAAGTCATGGCTTGTTCTGGTTTGGTGGAGTTATTCGAGTTGAGGTGTGTTTGCGAGTAGTTGAGAGCTTCAGATACGTTTCGGTTGGAATTTGGAGCATCTTGGGGCATGTACTGAGGAGAGAAAAAATGATCTATTGCATGTTTTAAGTTATGATGTGGTGAATCTTCAAATTCAGAGTTGCGCAATGATTGCTCAATGTCAAGTTTACTTTGTTGCTCTGCTGTATACGAGCCATGATGGTTGATATAAGACATGAAGTTAGGCCTGGAGTGGGTGTGCTCAGCTAAGACCTGGCTGTTTTGCTGTTGAGGAAAATTAATAGCATCTAGTTCCCTTTGCTCCACTGGCGCTGATCTTTTAACACCTGAAGTCCAAAGTTTAGAGGGGTCATTAAAACCTTCAGATTTCCTTTGTTCCAAATTTGGCACCTCAGAATGTTGGGGTAAAAATGCCCAGGGAGGATTGGATGAATCTGTTGCAAAATAAGGGTAGACTGGTGATTGTTTTGTAGTCTTTATAGGACTACTAGATTGTGCAGCAGGGTTGCCATCTGGTGGTTGGAAATATTCTTTTTGACCTGCGGCCCAAGGGAGCCAGGGAGGTGAAATGTGAGCAGCCACAGGGGCTTTTAAAGACTGCAATATTGCCGTTTCTGAAAGCTTTTGAGGAGTCTGGCCACCCTCCAAGCCCCTACTAAAGTCAGGATATACAGCCTGAGAAAATGGCTGCCTGTTATAAATATGAGAAACATCTTTACCATCCTGTCCAGTAGAAATATGGAGATGCTGATGAAATGCAATTTGTAGGCAACAATTAGAATGTCCAGATGGACAAAACTGAGAACAGTAGGCAGGCTGAACATGAGCAGCAGGTTTGAGGAATGACGATGTCTCAGCACCTAGTTTCCAAGATAGTTGACAAGGCCCATATACTTTTCCTAGAATAATATCAGTTGGCATCTTTGCAATCTGGCTTTCAGTAAGCAGCTGATCATATAAGCACATCTGGTGTGCTTCACCCTGAAGAACTGCAGGCTGTGATGGCTGAGGAACAAGTGTGGGTTCTTTTACTGGCTTTGGATGTGTATGTAATTGGTAAGGGTGGAGCAGCTGGTACATTTGACTGTGGGAGGGTTCAGGCAGTGGATCAGAAGGCTTTGAGATCAATTGAAGTTCAGGTTTTCGCAAGTGGGAGAATGGCTGGTTAACAGGACCCTGAGGAATGTCTAGGTCCGATGGCTCAGAGACTGTGGGGATTGACGTTAGTTTTGATTTAGTGGGGAAACGGAAAGAATGCTGGTATGCCTGGCTCCGAGGGGTTGACGGTTGTAGTGGTTGAGTAACAGCAGGTTTTGAAGTTGACTTTAGTTGGGTAAAGTAGTCCAATAAAGGCTGGTAGGCTTGCCCTTGAGGGGTTGCAGGTTTTGGAGGTGGGGTTACATTAGATTTTTGAGTTGGTTTTAGAGAAAAGTAGTGCAATAAAGGCAGGTGTGCTTGACCTTGAAGGGTTGCAGGTAGTGGTGGAAGAGTCACTGCAGATTTTGGAGTTTGTTTTAGTGGAGTATGGAAGTGGAAGATTGGCTGGTATATCTGGTCTTCAGGGGTTGCAGGTTGTGGTGATTGAATATCAGGTTTGGGAGTTTGGTTTTGTTGTATCAAGTAGTCCAATAAAGACTGGTAGGCTTGGCCTTGAGGGGTTGCAGGATTTGGTGGTGGGGTTACAGCAGGTTTGTGAGCTTGCTTTAATTGATAAAAGTAGTCCAATAAATGCTTGTATACTTGGCTTGGAGAGGCATTAGGTAGTGGTGGCTGGGTAATGTCAGCAGGCTTTAGAGTTGGTTGTGGTTGAGTAAAGAATTGAAAGAACTGCTGGAATGATTGGCCTTGAGGAGTTGCAGGTTGTTGCGGCTCAGCAGGTTTAGGAGTTGGCTTTGATTGGGTATAGAAGGAAAACTGCTGGTATACTTGACCTTGAGGAGTTCGAGGCTGAGGTGGCTGAGTAACATCTGGTTTTGAAGTTGGCTGTAACTGGACATAGTAGGGAAAGAATGCTCGATATCGATAGGTCTGGAGGGCTTCATGTTGTGGTGGCCAAGTAACACCAGTGGGTTGTGAGGATTGTCTCAATAGGGTGCATAGGAGGTATAATGATTGGTACATTTGACCGCTTTCAGTGTATAATGGTTGAGACATGGGTTTAGAAGCTTGCGTATCCTGGGTGCATGAGAGGAAAAATGTATGGTATTCCTGACCCTGAGGAATTTTATGGTGTGGCTGTTGTGAAGCAGTATTTAAGGCTAGTTTCAGCTGGGTACACAAGAGGTAGAATGGTTGGGATACCTGGCCTTGAGAAGCACCAGCAAGTTTTGAAGCCGATATCTGTTGAGTACAGATTAGATTGAGTGGCAAGTTTTCTTCAGGTTGAGGTTTTTCAGATACTAAGGTATGCAACTTCCCAGGTTTCTCAGGTAATTTTTCAAGATAGAGTGGATAAGAAAGAGTTTGAGGTGAAGTTTGTGTATCAGAAAACTGATCAGGATGCCCCTGCTCTTGACCCTTTGGGTAACTTGAAGGTGGCTCTGCAGTTTTCAGAGGCAACTTTGGTGAAAGATGAAATTGATACTGATCAACCTCATGTTTAGGTGGTGGTGATTTAGTCACTGGTGGCCACATTGGCAGAAACGCAGGCAACTGATTAATGGGAAAATGAAAATCTGCACCTGCATTTTGAGTATTTGCAGGGTTTGTAGGAGTAAGGATATGTAGTGGTTTAGTATGGGTGGTTTCTGGACTGCCAGAGTAAGGGTAGAAATAACTATAGAAAAAAGATGGATCAAATCCTTTTGGAACTTGATTTGGCTTGCTGGGAAGATCTTGGCTTTGAGGAAAATTTGGAATCTGGGAGCCAGTTTGACCAGAACGAGGGGATAAACTAGGATATGGTGTACTGAAAGGAGTCATCCAGCCACTTGGCTTTTCACTTTGCTGTAGAGGAGCTTTTGGAAAATCTGTGGATTTGATATCAGCTGCCAACAGTGATGGACATGAAATCTTGGTTTCTTTATCTGCAGCAAGTTCAAAGGTGTACAATCCATCCTACAGACAAAGGTCAGTGGGTTAATTTTCTGCCTAAAAAAGGAGGTTAAGTTCAGAACTAGTGAATTAATGTGCACAAAAAGAGTTGGTTATTGATAACTTCTTGAACAGACTCAGTTAAATAAGGACGTTTACATTTGACAGGACTTAAGAACTTGTCTGAATTAATCTAAAACCAAGAGATTGTTACAGGTTTAAAACAGTTCCAATTTCAAGTTTCGTAGTTCAAGCGAACACCATTTGTTCACATTTTACATTGCTTTCAATTTTGTACTACACATTTGTTCACATTGCATTCTATACTGTATTTACAAGTACAAGTAGTACGACCAGTAGCGCTAGTACTTCTGGGGTATCCAGGTGTTGGCAGAAATTGAAATGCAGCAATGTGGAAAAGTTGAAATACCATTTGCATGAGGTGCTATAAAAATTTTTTGAAGTCGAGTTGTTTGAGGGTTGCAAAATCAACTTTGGCCATAGCCAAGTTTGGTCTAACCATCATCTAAGTCCTGTCAAACATGAACCAACGTTCCAAACTGAGGCTTTGCAAGAGAGCTACCTAACACACAATTTACCATTTACACAGAAACCAGCTATAATATGGCAAAACTTTTCATTTAAAGAAAAAGAAAACAAAAATGACGTAGAAATTTTACACCACCTTTTTTCTCAGGCAAGGGGCAAAGCGTACAGAGATCACTACACCTTCAGGATGTTCAACAATTCCAAACGCACATCTGCGCGCAGCTGTCAATAAAGGCTCCCAGTTTCCATTTACTGCAAACATAAAACAAATTTATTACAGTGTGTGTGTGGGGGGGGGGGGGGGGACTTCAGGGCACAGACCATCAAGGGTATCCACAACTTTACGCTAATCACATCCTCAAACTAAATGACAAGCCAAAGTATTTCAACTGTATTCAACAAGGTTGAGTCTGGTCCTCTGTCAGATTCATCTACACAGATTGTTGTGCATGCATCAGATATTTCAACCATTTGTGTAACAAAAAAACAAAAAAAAGCCTAAATGTAGAGCCCACCCATTAACTGTGTGATTTGATGAAAACAAGTTTACAGATAACATATCCCAGCCATTTAGAGACACATGCAGACTGAAGTTCAGTTACAGTTGAAAATGTTAAAACTTAAATAAATTGAGTTTACCATATTAAAAGCACTAAAAACAAGCAGTGACACATTTAAAAATGTAAAAAAAACTAACTACTATTGCAGCTTTAATCCGTTTCACAATAGTAAATTAGGCCATAAGGGGCTGACTACTTTCAAAATATCTCTGTGGCTGAGTGCACAGATTATTATTTTTTTTACCCTGCAATCATTAGGACATGAAGCAGAAAGACATATGCAGAGGGGAAAGTAGACAAACCATGCATGCACAGGTGAGATCCGATAAAAAAATAAAAAAAAAAGGTAAAAAGTCCTGCTTTAATGTCTGAAGGCCAATTGTGAAAAACTAACACTAGTGTTTGGTTATTTCAGATATTTTTTAACCATGACTGGCATCAATTACTGAAGATAAATCAAGTCCTTGGTGAATACAGATGCAAAGACCAGTCATTTCTTGAAATGTAAATCCAGGATTGTATGAACTATGGCCGATGTCCCAGAGAGGCCTTTGCCTATAGGCTTTTTGTATGGTGGGGCATATCCCTTTTTCATTTGTATATTTGTCTCTGAATGTTGTCTGGTTCTGGATTTTTTGTTCATTTAAAAAAAAATATATATATATATATATAAACCTGGTTCAGTTTTGCAATTTAGGAAATGTACAATTTACAAGTAATGTAATTTATCTTGTAGTTTGGAACATTGTCAAATTAGGTGAAAAAAAATGACAGTTACGAATACAAAAAAAAAAAAAAAGGTTAAATCATGTCATCTGGACAAGTTTGTTTTTGGAAGTAAAGTTTTGTCTTTCATCCAAACACACCAGTCTGTGGCCAGCCAACCCAGATCTGTCCTATAAATAGCCCTTATGGATGAGTTTCAAGCCAGTCTCCTGCTGAATTCCAAGAAACTGGCTTTAAAAACATGCAAAAACATGTCCCAAACAAATCGATCATCATGCATAAAATGTTTTAGGCCAGATGTCCAACTTGCTACTCACAGAAACAGCCTGAGGACAACCAAGGCCAAAGTGGTTCAGAAAAAAAAAAAAAAAGGTTTGGAAGCTCATCATCCAGGTAGATAAATACAAAACACAAACCTGTTTTGTATTTATTTACCTGGATGATTGAGATTACAAACTTATTACAGTCATGAATGTTGCTCTATGCAAGCAGTGTTCACATCACTGACGCATTTCAAGAAACACTTCACATCTTTATACACCAATGAGTTTAATATCTTCAGTAATTGCCATAATTTGTAGTCAATTTATAATTAAAAATAAACGGGAGCGTTAATTCACTGGATGGTTTGTCGTTATTGTTTTGAATGGGCATTGGATGCCAAGCTGGATTTTGATGACCTACAATCCTTGCATGATTAACGCATATGACTGAAAGATCAGAGGACACTGCACTGAACATGATAGAAGACATTTGGGAAAGGAAAAAAAAAACTTACTATTTGCTTTAATGTTGGAGGCAGAGTTGGTCCATTCAGTTTGCACAACCATGCCCTCAGCATGGCAGGTGATCATTGGAGGGTTTGATGACACGTGTTCAATCATAGGACACGACATTTTCACCGGGAGGCCCCACCAGCGCAACGGAAGAACGTAGCTGTTCTCCTACAACCACAAGAGAGTCAAACTCTGAAGGAACTGGAAAAGTCTGGTTCAAATGTGCATGTTCTGACCATGGAAAGCCTACCTCAATGACAACAAAGCAACCATCGTAAGGCGCTACCAAGACCAAATTGCTTGGAGTTGACCTTATGGTGTAACCACAGCTTGAAGGCAACTTGGTCAGAGACAAAGGAGACAAGTGACCTGAAAGGTTGGAGGCTCATCAGTACAACACAAAATGTATAATCAGACAACTGATGAACAAATGAAGAGAAAACTGAAATATTCACCCCTGTCCACAAAGATGAGAGCTGCAGGAGTAAACACAGCATCCTGAACAAGAAGCTTCATGGAGTTCTGTGTGCATTCAACCTTCGAGTCAGATTTAAGGAGGCGGTGTGTTGCTGCAATATCTGACTGTGGCCAGTCGTAGTCCTGGAGTTTCTTGGTCTGCCACCAGCCTTTAAAAACAATTTGTACAAGTTCAAATACCTATAGCAGGTAATTATCTTGATGCAAACTGAATCATTAGAATAAAGTCAGTCGTAATACAAACATTTAGTGGTACATACCCATGTCTGCTTGGTAATCCGTTACTACGTCCAACACATTCTCTGTAGAATTGGTTCCATTAACTTTAGCAGATGTCTGTGAATTTAATCCAATTAAGAGTCTTCCGTTGTGCTGATGACTTCTTCCAACTTGACTTTGAATATATTCTGAGTTTATTTTCTTTTCATCCAGCCCCTTAAGCCTGGTCTTTTTTGTACAGTGGCAAAGTGAGGTCACAAACACTAAAAGCCCCAAGCATAATACAATAGCACTGCCCCAGTTCACTCTACACGCCATGAGCACAAAAACAAAAAAATCACTGCACACAGGCAAACTGCCTCAGCAGTGTTTCAGCAAAGTTAAATACACCTCCTAGCAGGTCTGTTCGAACCCCAGTGCTCTAACTCTGCTCCTAATTATGGTCAATCAGACACCTGATGACTGCAGGTGTTGGTGGTTGTGCCGAGGGTCACGGCTAGGCAGCTGCCTGAGAGAAATGTTTTATGATAAATAAATTGATAGCTCCAAGTCAGTTCAGACTTTTAAATCACATTAACTTTAAATTAGATGTATCTTATATGTTGCTCAAAAAATTCTTAAATGGTAAAGTGATTTTTTTTTTTTAAACTGCAGCAGGCTTTCAACACAATTTCCATTTTAAAATCTCATACCTTCCTGCTCTTTATATTTTTTTCATTAAATTCAGAAACCGTTTTTAATGTCCAAATACGAACAGTAAAGATTTATTTACAGTTAGTATTAAATATAATTTTGTATAGTGTAATTTTTTTATTTTTTTTACATGACAATAACAATTTATTACTGCTCCAAAAAAAACATAAAAATGTTAGTCTCAAAACAAAAACAGGTGTGTGAAAACAACACTGTTTAGGTTTATTATCTTTAAGGGATAGTTCAGCCATTTTAGATCAGTGTTTTTCATTAAAGGTTGTGGAAAATGAGTATCTTACCTGTTGTAGATTGCTCTTTGAATGGGCTGAGTTTACAAGGTAATAATACCTAGGCCAATTAAAAAGAAAGCTAACTTACTTAAAACAACTCAAGTATTCTAAATTTAATAGTAGCTCATGCAAACTTTTTTAAACCGAGAACTTTCAGAAAGTAAGAGCCAGAGAGATTTATTTGTCATTCGTATCTCATTTGGTACATGTGGTGGAACGAGATTATGTACGCAGGGTCCCAGTTACATCCAACAATAAAATGTAAAAGAAAAACAGTAATAAGACCTAAGATATGAACTAAGAAAAACATCAACTAAATATACACTAAGCACTAGGAGTGTTCCTGCTTGTTTGCACTGCGCTGTACTCCACTTCTTGCTTGTGGAGCGGGGCTCGGTCTGTTTGCATTCACACTGTACTCAAACCGCGCTGGAGTTCCCTTCAACTGGACCGAGACCTAGGTTTTAGCCCGGGCCAGAGTTTGCCTTTTTGTTCCGAGACAGAGTTCGATGGCGCGTTCACACCTCCCCAAACGAACCGGACTTTCTAGGAAAACGAGCTAGAGTTCGATTAAAGCGGACTAAACAGGGCTGGTGTGAATGCACCCTTAAGCCGGGAGCAGCACTTCCTCTTGGCTCCCGTTGGAGCACCTCTGCTGCAGCTTCCAGGTAGATGACTTTAAGATCTGCATTCTGCGAGCATAGTTTTGAGTTCGCTGCTGATCGCTGCTATATTTCATGGCAAATCCACTCTTATTCTCATCAGTTCAGTTCGGCTGTAATTCACACGCATAAATCGTGCAGAGTCAGGCACGGAGTCAATTTCAAACTCCCAAAAACTGGGATTGCACCGCTGCAACTGCTCTGATCGCGGCCATCTTGGCAGAAAGCTATCTCCATAAGGTAAGACATTATTTTTTTACTTTTCCACCAAACCCTACTTCCAAATTTCAGAAACATCCCATTTCATCATGTCTTCAAGCCTCCTTTATGAAAACATATTGTTACATGTTGAACTGTTGCCTTTTAGAGTGAAATAAAAGCAATATTTGTTTTAGGGCTTGACTAGCATCTGTGATAAATGTTGCACATTTTTACAGCATCCTTCTGAACTTGATTACTTATGGCCATACTGAGAGGTGCAGGCAAACAAAAATGTTTCTATTTCCATATTTCATGAAATATTGGATGGATTTTATTGAAACTATTAAAAAGTAGTCATGAGTTGTACATCTAAACAACAGCTGTTGCAGCTGTTGACCGGGGGGCTGATCATAAACATATACTCATGTTGGGAGGATGCTTGAGAGGAGCGCTACATCTGTAGCATGTTAGCTTAGCAGTAAGTGTGATGCTGTCAGACGCTGCAGGTGAAAGAGACGCTTTGTGTTCAGGTGCATTAAAGTTGAAAAGTCTTTAAAACCCCAACACCTTATTGTCCTCAAGCTTCATGAGAAACATCCTTTAGATGAGTAGTGTTGAACACAAGTAAAAAAGTCCAGTTATGATGTTTTTTATTTCTCCATAAACACAAATAGTGCCGACCTGATGCTGTGTGTTAAAGTGTATTAAAGTTGAAATGTCTTTAAAACTCACAGCTGAATTTACACAAACTTAGTGAGAAACATGCTTTAACAGGAATTAAAGTAAGGAAATCTAGATGAAATGTTGCTTTTTTGTACACTGGTACGTGTGCATGCGCACACGCACGTGCACACCCTGTAGTGTGTCCCCCCCACATTACAGATGCTTCTGACGCCCATGATCTATATATATAT